GCAGCTCCCTGTGGTCTCACCGCCCCTGTGAGCAGTGCTGGTCCGGGATCCTCCGCATCCAGGTGCCTGCCCTGCTGATAAGCTGCCTGGGTTGGGCTGACTGTTATGACGGAGGGTTTCCTGCCCATGTAGCCGATGGGCTGGTGGGGGTGCTGTGGGAGAGACACCACACTTGGGGTGCCCCACTGCACCCCGAGGCAGAGCTTGGTCAGCCAAGCTGTGCCAACCCAACCTGTACCTGAGGCATCATGCTGCTGTCTGCAGCTATGGGAAATAAATAGCTGCAAGGAGCTTCAGCCCTAGAAATCTGCTCACATCCCTCCTGGAGGTCCAGCCCCTCACCCCTGTGTTAGCAGGGAGCAAGCTACTCTGTGCAACAAAGTGGGAATCGTGAGGCAGAGGGTTAGCCTGTGAGCTGCTGACGGACAGCAAAGCCACAGCCGGTAGCGTTGGGCACCTGGCACACACACAGCGGCAGGAGGGGCCTTGGGCATCACCCTTGCCCAGGCGCTGTGGGGCCTGGGTGCCGGCTGTCACCTCCCAGAGGCGTGTTACTTTGCTGTTGCACCCCACTCCCTGACGTCTCCCTGCTGTTTCTAAGCAGAGAAAACCACTGCCGCCAGGCAGCTTCCTCCCAGCTGCTTCAAAATAGCGGGGTGGCTGTTGCCATCGCTCATGTGAGCCTCCACCACCCCTCTGGGAGAGGACCCAAGGAGAGCCATTTCCCATGGGGCTGGCACGGTGCCTGGCGGCTGCCTTCCTCCTCCTCCACCTCCTCCTGGGTGAGTGCCCTGCCCAGTGGCAGGGGCTTTCCTGGGGCAGGCGAGGGGGAAGTAAAGCTCGTGGGGCTGGGAGCAGCACCCGCGTGGGTCAGAGGTGCAGGCTGTTACCCTGGCCGCTCTGCCCTCCTAAAGTGGCTGGATGGGACCTTTGTGGGTGGGTGGCTCAATGGGGCGCCTTGCTGGGGCTGCGGGGTGAGGACGGCACTGCCGTGGCCAGTGCTGCTCTGGCTTGGTGGCTGTGGGAAGAGGTGCGGCAGCATGTTCTCCTTTTGGCACTATGGTTTCACTCCAAAGCGATAGCCCAGACCCTGGCAGGGTTTTGCTGAGGGGATGTGCACGCCACTGTTGTGTGGCTGCTGGGGGTCCGGAGAGGTTACCTCATCTCCCCTTCCCTTGGGAGGGGGTTTCTGAGGGTTTCTTAGGCTGTGCTGCCACCAACTCTCTTCCCTGGCCTGGTCTCCATGGTTATTTTTTGACTCAGTGCCCACGTCCTGTGGGCATTTTGCTTGGTGTGCATGCTGGGCACCAGAATAGAGCAGGTCACCACTGGGAGCTCTGTGGGAGGGGAGGGTGCATGGGTGGCCATCACCTCCCCAAACCCTCTGCAGGCAGAAATGGAGGGAGCCCTTGATGCCTCTCAGTGCCCTCTTGCCTTTGGAGGAGCTCTTGCTGGCCCCCTCTCCCACACCCTCCCCAGTTTCTATGGAGTGCCTCTGCATCACCCAGCCTGCCTGTTCGTTCCCTCTGCTGTCGCATGTCCCTTGGCTTTTGCATTGCATCTCCTTCTCTGGCAGTGGTCAGTTCTAGCACCTGCTCCCTTTCCCCCACAGCTTGTGCAGGACTCGAGTGCTTGGTCCTCTTAATTTTAACACACCACAAGCTGCCTCCAGTGATCTCAGCCTGGTTGCTGCTCTCTCTGAACAGCTGGCTGAGAGATGCTCTCCAGCCACAAACAGGTTTGACAGCCCTCTGGCCATGAAGCTCTGGTCTCTGTCGTGTGACCCCCCCAGTGTGCTAGTTCGGAGGTCTGTTGTTATAGGACTTGTTCTTACAATTGCAAGGGGTGCGAAGTCCCTTGGACTTTGTGCTTCAAAGAATGAGACTGCACAGCAATTCTTTTCAGTATTACATTGCGGTCCTAGGCACATCCAGACCCACTGCCGTTTTGGGTGTGCAGCCCTTGGGTAGCATATACCCCTGCAAACACCACATGTGCCGACTATTTGCTGGCAGGTTTGAGCACTGGCCAACGGGTGGTGACTGTTCAGAAGGGGCCCCTCTACCGTGTGAGGGGGTCCCACGTCACGCTGTGGTGCAAGGTGAGTGGCTACCAGGGCCCGGCGCAGCAGAACTTCCAGTGGTCCATCTACTTGCCCTCGGCCCCTGAGCGGGAGGTGCAGATCGTCAGCACTGTCGACCCCTCCTTCCCCTACGCCATCTACACCCAGCGCGTGCGCAGCCGGGGGATCTACGTGGAACGGGTGCAGGGGGACGCTGTCCTGCTGCACATCACCGACCTGCAGGACCGGGACGCCGGGGAGTACGAGTGCCACACGCCCAGCACCGATGAGAGGTACTTTGGGAGTTACAGCGCCAAGACGAACCTCTCAGGTGGGTCCTGAAAGAAAGCCTTGCTCCCTGCTGGGCAGGGGTGCAGGCAGGCTTCCACTGTCCCCACCTTTGCACTGGGGAGAAGTGCTCGTCTCTGGGTCTCTGACAGAGGGGCAGCTGGGGAAAAAGGTGATTAATGGGACTGGTGGGCACAAATTTTCCTTCTCTCCCCACAGTGGGATTGCTATCCTACCCCCAGGTGGCCAAGGTTGGGATGCCCAGATGTCCCCTTGCAGGTTGCTCTGGCCGTTGTCTCCCAGCCAGGGCAAGGGAAGGGAGAGGAAACCTCTGCTGTCCAATGGCCCAACTTTAACTTCAGCTCCTGACGCAGCTGCGGCATTTCACAGCTAAGCCCTTAGGAGGTCAGGAGTTTTCAGGCTCTGTGTGTTAGCTCTTGGTGTCCTCTCAGGTCAAGGTGTGGGACTTGACCCAAGCTGGATACCCACAGACGAAGGGAGGTGGCAGCTCCAGCAGAGCACTGGGAGAGGGAAGGCAACGGGGTGGAGAGACAAAAGGAAAGGCCCTACTGTGAGCCTACCAAGTCTACATGGTGGTATGGTACTTCCACTTAGTATTCACCCCTGTTCCCTCCTTTATCCTGGTGTTGTACCAGCCTGCACTTGGGATCATGAGGGGCTGGATGTTAATCTCCTTGGGGTTGCCTAATTAATACTGCCCGTAGTTTGACTGAAGAGGATACTGCAGAGAGATTTACTGTGCTTTCTGTACTGCTGAGGTTTTAACTGCTTCACACCTTGGTATAGGCTGATGGAAGCCTTGTCAATCAGCTACAAAAGATATTTCCTCTACGCTGTCAGATCCCTTAGGGCTGCGGTTTCGTAGTGGCCTGCAGGTTGCCCACCAAGGCCAAGTGACAATTTTTCCTGTGACCAGCTGCTCTCTGTGTTTCTCCCCTGTGCTCAGTGATTGCAGACACCCTCTTGGCTTCCATGGTGCCCCAGGTCCTCACCCGCACCGAAGGGGACGCAGTGGAGCTCACCTGCGAGGTGTCCAAGTCCACTGCCCAGCACACACATCTCTCTGTTGGCTGGTACCGTCTTCAGGGAGCAGGAGAGCACCGCGCTGAGGAGGTCCTCACCCTCTCCAAGGACTTCGTCTTGAGGCCAGGGCCCTCTTACGTGCAGAGGTTTCTGGCGGAGGACGTGCGGCTGAACAAGGTTGGGAACACCACATACAAGCTCTCCATTGGGGGAGTGGAGCCATCCGACCGGGGGCAGCTATACTGTGAGGCAGCCGAGTGGATTGAGGATCCCGATGAGACGTGGAAGGACATCTCCCGCAAGCAAACAGGGAGGACGTCACTGGCGGTCATGAGCCAGGGTAAGGCCCTCAAATTCATACATTGGCTCCAACTCCTTTGTGCACTGAAGGCCCTATAACAGCAGCCTTCAGTGGCCTTTGCCTGCCCCTGCTGCAGCCCAGGGACCCACCGGTGGGTCTGGCTGCCCCCGCCAGGCACTGTGGGAGCTGACTGGGCTCAGGGCTGTGGCAGCCCCTGGTTTGGGAGCTGTTGGTGCTTCTTGCTTTGGAGAGCAAGAAGCCACACAGCTCTCCACACAGCTGAGTCTCCGATGCCGGCAGCGATCATGCAACTTCACAGGCCCATGCAAGGTGTTAGCAGAGAGCAGCGTGTGCCTGCAGCAGCCTGGCTCCTTGGCAGCGTTAAGCTCCTGTGTGTGGAAAACCACGTTGTTAGACTGCCTCAAGGGTCTCATGGCCTCAAAAACTGAAGTACATAACAGTCAGCTGCCCATCGTGATGCCTCGGCCACGGGCACTGAGGGACATGGGGATGTGCTGCGTGTGCTACAGCTCTGGTGGTTGTGCCACCGCTGTGTGGGGTCACAGTGCAGGGTTTCAGGGCACCCCGCGAGTCTCTGCCTGCAGCCATTTTTTAGCTGGACTGAAGCCAGGAACCAGAGGGTATTAGCAGCAGAGGCTTTGAATGCCCCGTGAGGAAGGTGAATCGTATCATAGGACCTGGAGACGGGGTCCTTATCTCAGGTATGGCTGACTGCCCAAGAGGGTCTGCCAAGGAGAAGATGACTTTGTGCTCCCCCTCTTTGCTCAGCACCTGCTGCTGGTCAGTATGGGGGGCAGGACAGGGGCTAGGAGATGACCTTCACCTCCTCTTGCTTCCCTCTGACCTCCCTGTGCTGCGACAAGTCTTGACATTTCTACTTTCTGTAGGAACTAGCCCAAAACCTCTCCAACTTCAAGAACATCTCTTGCCCACATCCCGCAGCAGCCAGTGAGGGCTGCAGCATGCGGGACCAGCAGCATCGGATTCAGACAAGCAACTTGAATGCCAGCCCTCCATGCACCTTCTCCCACCACAGACAGCAGAGTTAAAACCACCACTGAGTGATAAAGCCCCTTTGTGCCCCTTTCTGATTTAAGGGTTATTTGTTACATGAAGCAGAACAGCTCCAGGAGGCGAGACGGAGCAGACCCCCACAAAAGCCAATGCCTCTGGGTTAGGCATCCAAACCGAGGGCTGCCCTGAGTTGAGCAGGGGGTGGCTGTGGCCCGAGGCCATCCTGATGGGTGCTCTGCTCTGGGGGGGGTTAGCTGCCCCAAAGTGGGGAGCTCAGCTCCTCAAGGCTCTGGTGGTTCCTCTGCCTGCAACTGCTGGTTACTGCCTGGAGCTGCTAACCATCTCCCCATAGGCAAAATTTTCCAATCTGATCACTTTTCTACTGAAAGAAAATGTTTCAATAGCGTATTCTCTCCCGTTTCCCTCTGCGCGGCCATCAGTGCTGCCAGGTGGGAGGGAAGTGTGGGCAGGGCCACCCAGCACCCTCTTTGCTTTTGATTGTCCACAGGCAGAGACCTCTCCGTGGACATCGCTGCTGCTGAAACCTCCCTTTCTGAAGGTGATACCTTGCAGCTAAATTGCATGGTGGGAGCCCAGAAGAGCAGCAGCAGGCACTTTCAAGTGCTTTGGCTCCTCAACAGTGTGGAAGTGGCCAGGGTTGACCCCCATGGGGTATTGATTTGGGAGGATGAATATGAGGAGAGAGCCAAGCTGGGGCAGCTCCGAGCATTCAAGCAAAGCAACGTGGTTTATGTCCTCACCATCTACGAGGTGGAGTTGAAGGACAACGGTATGTACCACTGCTCTGTTTCGGAGGTGAAGACTCCTGGAGACTTTCACAGCATCCAAACCAATTTGTCATCAGGCATCCAAGTCGACGTGAAGCCGATAGGTTAGTAAATCCTAATGGCTGCTCTTCTGGGTAAAACCTGCAGTGACCCCTGACTGGAGAACGCTTCAAGTCTGGCCTCATCTTGGCAGGGGCAACACACCTGCTCTTTGCAGTAAGAGTGCAAATGTGCCATATATTTTGGTAGATAATAATGGGAAAAGCACTTGCTCTGGCAAACATTAGCATGACGGATGCAGCAGCTGTCAACAAAGTGTAAACCTTTAGCTCAGTCTCTTTGCAATAAGTTTCGGGGCAAATAGGTAGAGTTCTGGGGAGGTTGGGTCCTCCTGTGTCTTTGCTACAGAAAATTGTGAGCAACACCTGTTGCTACTCCTGAGGATCACAGGATGACCCAGCAGAACAGGTACTTCTGGATGGGCATCATCATTGCCATTTCCATCAGGGTGCTCTCTCTGTTTTGGAGGGGTGACTTGTGAGAAACCACTCTAAGATGTGTAGGAGACTCTTGGTTTCCTTGTCGTAGCTAGATGATGGCTATTCTGATGTAACAGGGGCTGCCTGTTGGGACTCTATTTCTTAAGTATTTCTTTATGTATCTATGTCCCAGGAAAGACATTAAAGAAGGAAAAAAAACAAACAAAAAAACCCCACATAGCCCTCTCCAAAGTTATAAGAAAAGGCTGGTTGAAAATTTCGGACAATTCATCTCCTTTTCCAATATCAAGATTTATCTAGTCTCTCCATTTAATGCCACAGTTTTTCTGGCTTTCTCTGAGGAGCACAACAACATCCCCTCCCACACAGTAACTGTTGTTTGCAGAGAGGCACATGCGCCTGTCCGTGTCCACCAGCACACCGCAGGTCATGGCAGGAGATGCCTTGATCCTCTTTTGCGAGGTGCAAGGAGCGTCCAGCCCCATGTCTGTGCAGTGGTGGCACCTGCCACCACAGCACCCAGGTCCCCGGGTGCCGGTGCCCACCATGGAGCGGGACGGCACCCTGAGCCTGGGCAGTGCCTACCAGGATGGCAGGACTCGGGGGAGCCTCCGGCTGGAGAAAGCAAGTTCTGGCGCTTTCACGCTGGTGATCCCCAACACATTGGATGAGAGCGATGGTGGGCGGTACAGGTGCGAAGCGACAGAGTGGTCCCGAGGCCAGAGCTGGACAGAGGAGGGGGAGACAGTAGTGACAGTCAGCTCCATAGGTGAGTTGGGCCACCCCTATTTCTGGGATTTCAAGCTGGACATGCTTGAGGCAAGGCTGGAGAAGTGGGTGGACACATGTGGGTAGGACAGAGGTCTGCTGTGCCTTGAGCTCTGCTGCTGCTGCAGGGTGACCCGGGGCTGATCACTTGGCCCTGGAGTGCCTCAGTTTCCCCATTTCTAGCAGGGTGCTCGAGTCCTCCATGAGATGTTTTGGGAGAGACAAGTGGGAGACAATAGCTAAAGTGCCTGGAGACCTGAAAGGCAGTGGCTTGCTCGGCGGGTCTTTCTGTCTCCTTAACTTGAAATACAAAATATCTGTTCTAGCAGTATAATTACTTACAGTAATTAAGCACAACAAAGGCACTTGCTGGGTTGTATGGTGGCCTTTTGTCAGAGATATACCCTGGTGCTGGCATCTGATTGCTTTTCCTGCCCTCTTGTCTGAGCACAGAGCCACTAACATCCCTGGCGTGCAATGCCCACGTTTCTTCTTTTGATTGCTGGAATGGGTGCCTTTATGGAGAGGCAGCTTTTGGCTGTGATTTAGGGTGTTTTTCCTTCCTTATTGCTGGACTGGGTGCCTGAGAGCACCGGTCGGGCCACAGGAGTTGTTAGGCTTTTGTGGAGGGTGAAAGAAGCAGCAAATAGGGCAGCAGCAACAGCAGAGGAACCCTGGCTCCCTGCCACGGGGCGGGACTGGGGAGCCTGGAAGAGAGGATACTCAGGGCTGCCTGGGAGGCTGGGGGTGGGAGAGTGGGGGGGCAAGGTAGGAGAGGCCAGGGACTGTGTGGGGCTGGAAGAGCACGGTGAAACTCGGTGGAGAGCGGCACCGGCAGAGGAGCAGCAGGACTGCTGGCTGCCATGGGGCTGCAGTGGCTAGGGCAACAGGGACGGTGCTGTGTGGGAAGGGTGGCGGCGAGGTGGCGCGGGGCAGGATTTCTGTTCCAGTGTCAAGGGTTCTCTCCTTCTGAGCAGGTCTCGGTCTGCACGCCATGCTGAGAAGCCGAATTGCCACCGTCAGATACGGGCAGAGTTTTGAACTCGACTGCCAAGTAAATGCCAGCTACCCCCTCAAGGAGGTGCCGGTGTTGGTGGGTTGGCTCTTCCAGCCCAGCCCACCCACAGGCCACTACCACGAGCTGGTCCGGGTCCTTCCCAGCGGCACCGTGGCCTGGGGGACAGCGCAGCCACACTTCCAGGCGAAAACCCAGCTGACGAAGGCTCCCACCTCCTTCAGGCTGCGCATCCACAATGCCGTGGCTGCCGACAAGGGGACATACCAGTGTGAGGTGGAGGTCTGGGGTAGGAGCACCCTGCCGACTG